GTTTATTCTTTTTTACAAATAATAATTAATATATACTGATAATTTATAGCCTGATATATAATTAACTAGCTGTTTTTAAATTATAGCCTGTCATTCATGTCCCGTAGATGAAATAATAAAATTGGTGCAGTAGTTTTGAAATTAGACAGGTTTAAAATTTAGTTGTCTCATTTACAGAAGCGCGGAGGCTTTAGAGGTCGAAATGTACCGTTATTCCATTTATAAATGTTTATAAAAATGCGCAATTTTTTTGTAATCAAGTGTACAAACAATATAGTAAAGTTAATAACTTAAAGTAATCGGTTACATTTGTTTGTATTTGATTGCTAATTATTGAACCTGTTTCTCATTAGAATCAAAATTAAAGATAGTTTAACTGTTGAGATGCTGATTATGAGTTATATTTACGTGTGGACATTTTGTAAACTTTATTCCCTTGTTTGTAAGTCAAAATTTGAGATAGTACTGACAAACAAATCATGTGCGAAAGAAATGCAAATGTTGTAAACAATCGTGTCGACTGTCTCAACTTGATAAATTGTTTCACTTATACAGAGAATTGAGCTACTAATTATAGAGGTAAACATCGCAAAAATCCTATAAAATGAAATCTCATTTAACCAGGTTCGAAAAGTTTCGTTAACAGATGTAATTCATGAAAAAGTGTCGGGACCTCATTGCAGTTCTCAATAATAGAGGTTTCCCATTTATCCAAGTCCCACTTAACCAGGTTTCACTGTACAATTAAATCTTTCCTCTTTCTTCAATTCAAGCAAACAAACAATTAAATCTGTCGCTTTACAATATTAGTACATACTATATTTAAAAAAATACTCTTTTCAGTTGCGTATGCGGACTAGTGATCCAAATAATGAATATTATTTTATTAATACTATTTACGGTTTGTTTTGTTTTTATATGTTTATGGGCAGTAGAATACGCTAATAAAAAATAAAGGTAAGGAGCTTTCTTTAGTTAATTATACAGTAAATAATTTAATTATTGTTTATATTCCAATTTTTTCGTTCGTACATGAATAGATTGTTACGTTGGCCATTTCATCATCTCTCTAGCATGTAATTCACATATTCTTAATGCTCTAGGCATGAATAAAGTAAAAAAAAAAGGCACATCTAGCTTCCCAAACAAAGGAAAAGTAATTATTCTGTTCTTACACACTACAAGTGCATGCAGTTTAGTCTTTTTAAAAATAATATCTGGACCTATTTTTAAAAAAAATCACATACTGCATTATAGGCGGATGATATAGGCTATAATTTACGCAGGAGTCGCGGTAAAACTGTTACATTTGATTATTAGTTAAGTCAATCCTTACCAATTTGAACTTCAGTTTAGAAGCCAATAGAAGCCAACTATCAACAAAAATATTACATTCTTAATTTTTATAATCCGTCAATTCTTGTTTCTGAAAATTTGAATAAACGGCACGGGTGATCTACGTCTCAAAAGGAACTATAAATGCTTATATTGAGATGTTTTAACCATTAAATCAATAGCGTAGTTTACTACTATTTATTGTATCTATAAATGAAGCAACTTTTAAACGATTTCATCACGTTTGTATTTAGTTTCACATAAGAATACCTGTAAAGGATCCGAAACGTCAATAAAACTAAATACAAACGTGATGAAACGTTCAAAATTTGTTTCATTTATGGATAGTGAGTGTGAAAATATAGAAAATGCATATGTTATTATTTCGACTAGAACTTGTACGTCCTTCATATTTTTCTATATTTTGAATACGAATTTTTAACAAAAAGGCCTAAATTATGATTCTGAATTCGCAAACTATGATTCTGAATTCACGCAGAAGATATTGAGGACGAAATATAATTCAAAATTTATCTATTTTCAGTTGCGTGTGCGGATTATTGTGCCAAATAATAAATATTATTATATTGGTTATTATTGTAATAATTATCATTTGTATAGTCATATGGGCTGTAGAATATATAACTAAAAAGAAATAAAGGTAAGTTACTCTCTTTAGATATTTATACAAAATGTAATTTTATTATTTTGTTAATACAAATTTGATTTTAACGTATAGTTATGAACTAGGCGATCTATTCAGATTCAGTGTGCTTAGTGTAAGTTTTATTTTTTTATTTTACGTACATCATCGATTGCGAGCACGTTAATCCACGTTAATCGATTGGGATCCGGTACAGCGCCCCTAGCGGTGACTATCAAGAACTACAAATCTTTATATAAGTATTAGACAAAATCACATACATTGCTCAGATTCCAAGATGAGTATCTAAGGCATTTAAAATTATGGAGTATCTGAGACAACGAAGTACTACAACCGAGAATCGAACCCGAGACATCAGAGATGTCGAAACCTTGAAACCGTCTGAGAACCTCTCGGCTATGGGGGTTGTCATCAACCATATCATGAGCGTGGCCTATTATTTTTGTTGTATATTTCCTATGTTTTCTTTAGTTTTAATGCTTTCTCAATTGCGCACTTTCAATGCTCGATATGAAAATCAATATCTACAAATTAAAATGTTCAAATTTTAATACAACCCAGAACACATCATCATCATCAGCCTAAATATTAATGTGTTCACTGCTAGTTTTTAATTATAATCGCCCACACGGGACAAGTGCGGATTCATATGTGTAATAACTGCAAATGCAGATGGTACCGAAGGCAACGTACTTGAGAGCACGGAAAAGCTCAAGCTCAATAATATAAAATTTGTGTCACCCATCCTACGACCGGCTTTCGCAAAAGTTGCTTGAACTCCGTTACCGCAGACTGAACACTTTAATAACGCTATTAGGCTCCTCACTATCTTAACATCATTCTTGGGAAAGAAGCAAATTATATCAATCCATCCAAGTGTAAATGCCCTATAGTTTTCACTAACTAATCCTTGTTTTACGTTTGAACACGAAACTATAGAAAAAGTATCTTATCAAGCAACAGGTCGACTGAGGGGCTAATAAATTACCCCTTTCATAGCGATTGCTTTACTGATAACCAGTCTGAGAACAGTGTGACAATAAAATAGGTACATAACAACGATATCTAAAGTAGTAACTGATTTTCAATCTTACCGTTTGTTACATAGAACTTGATATCACCTGCAACAATTCAAAGAGTGCCGGTGTAATGTTACTATAAAGTTATCGTTCTATAACAGGTGCCCTTTACTACACTCTCAGAGATTAAGAAATGTGGTACGTATCTTGGATCTTTTACAACCCTATGTTGAAGTGAGCAAACTTGCAAGGTCGCTAGACGTATTTTATGCATTATATGATAATGTATAGAAACCAGAAATTCTATTTTTGATTCGCTCGTTTAAAATTTTCGTGTCGTGTACGAGTTAAGCCATACTCGATGTTTTAATAATAATCGTTTATTTGCACAAAACATGGTAAAAAAATAATGGTTCTATTAAATATAGATTCGTTCTCATGTTTTAGAATATTAAAATAGCATGCAAATTCTTACAAATGTTAATCTAAGTCAAGCAATAATTGGGATTGTATTTAAATAAATAATAAAGTCAAAAAGAATATACATAAATTATGTCACTATTGAAATATCTCTTAAATTTATGTCAGTATATACAACTATTTTTTGCATGAATTCCTCAACTGTACAAAAATATATTCATTCACCCATTTCAACACTTTAAAAAAAAGAAATTCAGGTTTCTCCTTTATTTCAGTAGGTATATTATTGTACATGTATTTAGACGTATACTATAATGTTTAATTTTGCATTTAAAAAAATTTTGTTCGGTATTGCCAACATAATCCGCATCATTGCAGACGAGCAAAACAAAAATTATGAATTTCGTATGTCGAATGTAAAATAGGTACTAGCGAACGAGCAGTGAAAGCTAATCGAATGATTCAAAATAGAGCTCCTAGATGTTTTAACTTTATTAACTAATACCATATAATATTTATTTAATATTCCACTGGATTACTCAGTTGTTTGTCCGTGTTTATCCGTCCATCTAAAATAATAATAATATTAATAAGTCATTTATTAATATTATTATTTTATAGTAATTAGTTATTATGAGTGTCAATACTTGAAATTGACACTCATATTCACAATCATATGTTTATAATTAATAAAATTAGTTTGTAGAAATAAATGTAAATAAATAAAATTAAAATATGCAATAAATAAAAAAAAAAACAAAAGATAATTAAATCAATCAACCAACAAATCTTAAAAATAGCACAACATTTAATTAAAATCAAATTAAAATTTAATATGTAAATGAATAATTCAATAAATACTGTACGAATTAAACTTTTACCTTGGTACACTTAAAAAGTCCTATTTTTATCACAACACGTAATAAAGTTTTTGATGGATTTCTATTGAACAAAAGAAAATGGAAGACCTGTAGACAGTTCATATTTTCTAAGCCCATTAGAAATTTATCCATACTCATAATCAATTAAAATTTTCAGTTGCCTATGCTTATGTGGTGTGGTATGTCAAATAATTGTCGGCATTATTATCGTAATTTTGGTAATATCTGTAATCGTAACGACCACAATGTCGGCGAATGCATCGAACAGTTTAAAGTGAGTGATATAAATTCAATTTACCTTTTAATTATTTCAAACTACTAATGGAGTCGAATCGTAAAGAAACTTATATGAGTTAGTAATAGAGATTTTTGATAGATTTAAAGAAAACAGGTTCTGCATTCAATCGTCTCGTATGTTTAATAATTTAAGAAATTTGTCAGTTTTGATCAACTATAAATGAATAATTTGGTGAAATACATTTGGTGTTTCAGCAATATTAACTATCAATAGTAAATTGAACTGAATCACATTTCATTGTGATTGATATGGAGAATACATGTTGAGATCGTATCTATCCAAATTTAATTACTTTTTGGTATGAATACAATTTCGACACAGCCGTACTCATACCGCAGTCCTTTTCGAATTTTATCGTGTGAAGTAACGAACGTGACTCGAAAATGGATAAAGCGAACGGAAAAATTAACGAACGAAACAACTTTTCTGTTATACTAAGAAAAAAGAACGGAATAAAAACAGTATCGAACCTATATTCACTGGCGAATTCATCTAAGCCTCTAACATTTTTCGCGGCATTATTTGGAATGCAAATGTTAAGATACTCAAAGAGGAACGTTTCAAAAGTTAATCTGTTTGGAAAATTTTATTGCTTGTTGATCGCAGTGACATTGATTTTACTCATTGTGTTAATAACGCCGTTTAGTTGGCGATATACTAAAGCTGATTTGCCTCTGAACATGCTCACGAAAAGTTACAGTGTTTTTCACACTACAGAAGTGATTTATTGTATTATCGTCACATCTCTTCTAAACAGCACATATTATGTGGAGCTTTTTAAAATTCTCGACAGCATAGACAGACATTTTGGCTTATCAAAGAAAATGTACAAAATAAGAATTATATCGAGTATCGTACTAATCTTGCTGCCTGTCACTCAAACGTCTTGCACATTCTGGCTTAGGAAATTCAATATAAATAACATTGGATTACATTTTTCTTTTTTCTTGATAATGATACAAGGAGCTGTTATTATATTTCTCTCGATGAACATATATCTGAAGCAGTTGATGTTAAATAGATTGCTTATATCGAAGACACTTAATACGATACCGAAACAAAAACAAAAACTATTTAAAGAGACATTTATAAATATTATAATTAATGTAAGTAGTAGGTATAACTCTATGTAGGTATAACGTGAGATATGACAAAGATTTTCTTGAAGAGAAACCCAAAATCGAAAAATACTAATCATAAATCGTGTACTCTTTGTAAAATTAGAATATAAAGATTTTAAACTCTTTAATATTAGTAACGCATTTTAATATTTTAATATTAGTAACTGCAATTGATGTTTTATAAATATATTTTCAGAATATTCTAAGAGAACCCCTTCATGTTGAGCGGAATAAACGGCGATACAGTTGGTTTGAACTAATGCAGGTTTATAATAAAGTCGCTGACTCCATTTTTATATTCGACAAGATTTATTCTGGTCAAGTAAGTACTTGGCGGACACTGACATAAAAATCTTTGAAAGTATCTCATTACATTTTTTTGTAATAATTTTTCAATTTTCCATGCAATTTGTATACACTTGCATATTTTAACTATTTCAAGCTAAATCTAACGTCACTCAATCTCAAATATTATATTTACAATGCTTTATATCTTCATAATTATCCTGTTAATATTTCTCACTAATAGGATTAATGCTTTAAATTTAATTTATATTTTGTAATTATTCTAATTCGGCTTCCATTCTAATGGATGGTTTTATATATCTTTGTATAAAGCAACTTAAATAATAATCTATCTTCATCATTGCTTAAAACTTTAAATGCTGCTTATAAAAAAAAAACTTTTTACAGGTTTTGATCATGTTCAACACCTGGCTATTGTGTACATTATTGACATTGTGTAGATCACTATCTCCAACAGTGAAGGTAAAATATGTAAAATAATGTACTTACTTTATAATCGTCACCAGCATATAAATGATCCCACTGTTGGGGCTCCGGCCTTTTCTATGGATTTGGGTGGACAGTAAACCAACACGAGGGCTCCGATGCAGACGGGACTAACGGCTTAACCTGCTTTCGGAAACACGAAGGAGTATGAAGAGAACCCAACCCATGATCATCCATTGCGAAAGTTGCTTTAAAACCGCGGGCTCAGTGCGGGTTGACTGCAGATGCAGATGAAACAAAAACACGAAGGAGTATGAAAAGCACCCATCCTATGATCCGCCATTGCAAAAGTTTCTTTACAACCGTATTGTAGACCGAGCGCGCTTACCCTCGCGCCATCGAGTAAAATATACTTACTGTAATTTAAATAATCCTCTTTCGTCTGATGTGTTGACCTTTGTTTATAAATATGTACATAAAAACTATAATAGATATTTCTCTTGCAGTATTTGGAGGTTATGCTAAGTGATAATTTCATGTATATGTGTTTGAATGGACGTCCTATGTATCTTACTAAAATATCTGAAATGTTCATGGAAGAAAGAAAAAAGACCCTGGCAATATTAACCAATCATTTGGTACGAGGAAATTTAGGTGAATAGTTTTTTTTTTTTGTTCATTTTTTTATACTTTCTATTGATACACAACATACCTCGAATACTCTTGATGCCAATTTAGTTAAAGCCAAGAAAATTACCACTTTTAAACCAATTTATTATAAGACTATGCTTATATTTTCCAAGTAAAAATTATTTTATGAAAATTAATTATAAGGTCGATTGTTTGCAGAAAACAGAAACACAAATTTCAATAATTGGCTCTACAGAAAAAAATCGCAAAGTTGACTCTTAATAAGTTTTATGGGTCGATTTTTCTCAGAATATATTTCATGTTTACTACATAATAAGTTTTAATTTAATCTAAAATGATCAAAACATTTTCTATGCCTACATTTGTTCTTTTTTCTGTGATTAAAAATGTACGATATAAAATCAAGCAAGCGCGTCTTTACGCTCTATGCGTATTTGACAGAGACATATTTTTTTCAAAGAAGGTCATTAATTTTAATATTATTTGTAGATGAAGAATACTCTGAGCAAGTTGAAAGGATGATTGATCTAGTGGAGACAAGAAGACTAGAGATAACTGGAAAAGTATTCACTGTGGATGCTCACAATGTAATGAACTTCTCTGGAAGGGTTATATCCTATGCCGTGCTCATGATCCAGTATTTCTACATGTACATATTCAAAAAGTAACTCGAGTAGTGTAAGTGTGAATACTGGGTAGAAAAAAAAATCTATTTAGTCCGTCAATGAGATAATAGAAACATATTAGATACGTATTTTATGGCTTGAATTTAACAATGGCTTACACCCGTTTTCACTAACCTAGAACAAGGCATAACTTTACTAGGAAACGCCTAATCTTAAGAATCGTCAAAGCAGATTGGTTTAATTCCAAATAAAGATTCTTTTATCCGTTGACATATTTGTGGCCTGGCATTTAACACAACCGCAAAACGCGTGTTATAACTTTATACATTGCTTAATGTGGTTAGGTGATTCCTAGACATTGATGAAATGCATTTTTACTTTAGCCGATTCTTTAAGATTTGGGCGACTCCTAAACTCAGTGAAAACGGGCATTAGATTATCTAATAGGCAGTAACTATGTAGAAACATTGATTGCGCAAAAATAAAAGATACGTGTTTAATATTCTTAACCTGAAACACAGACAAAAAAAAATAGTGAACATCCCTAATATTGTAACTATGATTATCATATAATTTGTTTTCATTCGTTTTGACTGTCAAAAGATGACAGTAGCGGGTGTTCTACATTGATAATTTTTTATTGGTTCATTAAAGTCTAAAAATTAAAATAGATCCACATTTGAAAATATTATGAAAGTACCTGGATGACCAAACTTTGCTCGTTGTTCTTTTTGTAAATGATTTTATTTGTAAATTATATTGAAATAACTTGTTTATATATTTTTATTATTATGTCAGTAACATTCAAAAATATTAATCATATTTCACCAGTATGTAATTCGTATTTAAATATAATATACGAAAAACGTGACTGACCAAAATAACGAGCAAAGGTCGGTTATCCAGGTACTGAAAATTATCATGTAAAATATGGTCAACACGGTTGCAAGCCAGCGGTCAAAGAAAGGTGACATTGTCGCTAACCGTCAAGACTTCTCTTAAAGAAGTTTTGAATACAATCCATAAATCAATGGAAAACTAGTTCTAACCAAATTTTTTTAAAGCTGGTTTGCAACAGCGTGGATCACGCTTTGAATATTTGAATATGGATATAGGACATAGGTATTTATTTAAAAAAACTAGCTAATTTTAATTAAAACACTAACGAGAGTCGGAACGAATGAAATCGTATTATCTATTAAATTTTAAATAAACTTCACAACTTAAGTTACATGATTCTATGTAAGAAAACTGAACATTCTGTTGTGAAGTCTTATTAATAATATAAATGACTAAGAAAAAGAATTTCTTATTTTAAAATCTTTCTCAATTCATTTCCATTTAACGTTTGAAAGATATTAACAATCTTCACTATAGGTTTTAAACGAACTTGGAATATATTTGCTAGACGTTAATTGAAATTGTCCAAGGCACACGTTGGACGCAAATATTACTTTAAGTTTTTACTACCTATGTTTCTTGATTATTCAAATTATCAATCGCTACACCCTCGAAAGGATTATGATAGATTATGAAAAAAGACAATTAGGTCACCGTTCTGTAAGTACCTAATTATTAATCTTTGAATTTCAAATATGGAACAATATTGATTGCCATTTTTTAAGTGTAAATATCTTACTCCCTACCAAATACATTATTTTTAATGTGTTCTGTTATTGATCGATGTGTCGTTGTTTTTAAATATATGTTAATAAAAGTGTTCTGTATACACTATTCATTTTATTTTTACTCAATTGTAAATAGACGATAAATATCGCTCACGCGACGTACCACAGTACCATTTAGACATCTTTGGAACTGTAGTTCAAGTCATCAGCTCGTCCCCACTGCAGGGGCTCAGGCCTTCCTTATGGAAGGTTAAGGAGGATGGGCCATAATCTTCTACGCTGAATCAAAGAGGATTGGAGGGTATAAACGACTGCAAATACGGCCGGGACCAACGGCTCATCGTGCTTTCCGAAGCATAAGTATCTCGACATAATAGTTTTTTGGTCATCCCGTAACCGACAAATTCCATAGTTTCTTAACAACAACGATCGCAGGCCGCAGCGCTTATCTACTACGCCACAGAGCTGTTCATCTCAAGTAGCCATTTATAAAAGAATCAAGTAACTTTACCCCAAAGTATAGTTTTCTCTAATTTTCTCTAGTTTATTTATGTGCAAGTAATTATTATACTTTTGGCACTTTTTTCTCGGATAGTTACATAAAAAAAGTCTGTAAAGTAACATGCACAGTGGTCCACACTATATACAAACTTTAATCCTGTGTCACAGGCGAGTTTAGTGCTACGGTATTTCCCGGGGGAAATATCAAATCCGCTACAAAAATATGGAGTACCCTTCTATGTAAGAAATAAATGCAAACATTGTCTAACACTGAGGTTTGATTGCTTTTTTATTATTCTACAGGTGACAATTTAACACCTACTATTTCAGTCCGTGTACAGTTATAAAAGTGTAATTCCATAATATGAAACATTTTCCTTTACAACATTTGTCTGTGTCGTTTTAATGGGTTTATCCATGTAGATTCTCATATTTTTATCATCATATTTTTCGTTACAAAAATTGCTTTGGGTGCTATAATTCGATAAAGTATCAAATTTGGTCAAATATGGATTTTTATTGTTCCTAAACAATGTTCCAACCCAACAAAATTAGTAATCTGTGAACTTACCAATGACGTAGTTTTCACTAACATTATAAAGAGATAATGTTTATAAATTTAATTTGATCGCTAGAGGTAATCTTTGGAAATACTGATACGATCATAAAAATGCTTTCACCTGTGGAAATCTACATACGCGGATAACATACGCTACAATTTATGCAATCAAAGTCGCGGGAAAACAGCAACTATAATTTATTATTTGCCAATTATTTAGTAATTTTATCCTAACAAACTCTGTCCTATTTTCTCTGTTAATCGAAATGATTTCATAAATGCAGGACGGTATGTGTACTGTAGTTATATAAGAAGCTTTTTTTTTATACGTCTCGGAAATGCTTTAAGCACAGTTCGTGCAGCTTGGTGCTTGGTGATCTTTCCTCAGTCATCGGAGGCCTACCCCCAAAAACTCCTACGGTGTACCCTCTGCTGAGGAATAAGAACTGAGAAGCCATCGCCATAACACTCACCTCAGTACGGCGTACCCTCTGTTAAGAATGAGACCCGGGAAGCCATCGCCAGAACACTCACCTCAGTACGGCGTACGCTCCGGCGTACCCTCTGCTGAGGAATGAGACCCGGGAAGCCATTGCCAGAATACTCACCTCAGTACGGCGTACCCTCCGGCGTACCCTCTGCTGAGGAATGAGACCCGGTAAGCCATCGCCAGAACACTCACCAACAGTAGTAGTAGCTTGGCTCCACGTATAAAAGTTCAATGAAATAAAAATATACGTTTTTCTTTTCCAGCAACAAGAAATACCATTTCTTATTTCAATATGCTTTTTACGATCAAATCCCTGCTCTCTAGTACTGTTTATTCAGGAAAATAAGCGGTATACTTTAATATAGCGATCTTAGGACTACTATAAAAATCTATTAGAAACTTTTCACTGTGACGCTTTGGGCGCAAAAAGAATGTCAACTGAACATAAAACTGCTTATTTCAAAAACAAAACTACATCTTTTTTATGTTATGGCAAATTAAAAAATATATTATTCCTAAATCGATATCAAATAAATCAGATTATAAAATTTGATACTGCCTTTTAGCATGGTACATACCCGTTTAGATACCATGTCGACGGCTAGTGCGTGAGGAGGTATATAGGCGAGTGGCTACAACATGTTTTTTTGTATGCGTGTGTAATACCACAGTATTATAGTAAAATGTAGTGAGTTATAACTACTGTTATAAGAAATAAGGATTATTCCCTTGTTTTTTATATGATAATTTATATCGTTATTAGGTAATTATAAAAAAACGGAACCGCAAAACTAAAAATACCAAGAATTAATTGTTAAATTACGTAACAACTACATAGGTAGTTAGATATAGGTAATATGAGCACTTTAAACGCCAGAATTTTTGCCACGCTTATCGTGACGTCAATGTCCGCGACTATTAATAAGATATTTATAAATGAAAATCGATTTTAACTAATAGATTAAGTAACAACAAAATTGATTTAAAAAATAAGAGCTTAAGTTATCATTTATATTATAATCTGTTGTTTATTTTGCTATATGTACATATATATGCTATATGTTTTTGCATCAATCTTAGCTTTTGGTAACATCGACATCCCTATAGACTTTGTTGTCACGTCATTTTTTAGGATTTTTCCTGACCAAAACGAAATAATATTAAATAATATTCACATAGACTTTATTCTAAAGCTATAATATTCCTAATAAAATATATTTAACCCTTTTTTCAAACTTTTATTCCCTATTATCCATCCACACTGTATCCCGCAATTCACTGAACCCACTTTCTCACCAGCTTATATATCGTATCGAAATATTAGTGTTAGATTTAGACTAGGTACGTACACATAAACTATGTAATTAAAATGTTAAGAGTTAAAACGTTGTCCACGTAACATTCTGCCTATGATAACGCAATATGACTCGCAAAAGAAAAATGTAATCTTAGGCTCTGTAAGAAGTTTTAAAATACAAGTTAGGTCAATTATAAGAAAATTATTTGAAAGAAATTACCAACATAAACATAGATTGATAATATTTATTCAAAACTATTATTTTAATGATATGGAACATAAACTTTTTCCCAAATGCGACATCTAGTGAATACATGATAAACTACGTTAAACAAGTATACATATTGTTAAAGCTTCCTAAAAGCACATTACTGTGCTAAAGTATCGTGCAAAATAAATGCGTAATTGGTTAGGTACATAATTTGTTTGTTTTTGAGTAGATGTCGTTATAAAAAGTTTTGTCAGTTATGTATATATCTACCTAGTAAGTAGTACATCTGTCGTGTATGTCTGTGACAAGTTTGAGGCTGCAAATCTGACTGATAATTTCTTATTTGTAATAAACGTAAATAAAAAAACTATATTACACAAAGTTTGCTCGAAACAGGGTTCGAACCTGCGATTGTATCATATTACTGTTGTTCCATACCAGAGTAAATTTATAGGTACACAACTTTTATATTTCACCCAATTGTAAATTTTTTTAACGCCAAAAACATCTGAATATTTCTCAATTTATAAAAATATTATAGAACCACATAATACAAAGGACAATTTGTAATTAAGCAATCTAAAACCAATATTATTAATCATACCACAATTATTTAGAAGAATACAATATTACACGTCATGTCATGTTAATGTCCATGACCGGTCATACACAAGTAATCGTTTGAGCCACATAGTGTTTTAGCTACGCTACATCGCGTCGGAATATTACGCATCAGTGCCGTCAACGATATAAATTTTATTTTATGTCTATTTCTGTTTTTGCAAAGATTCATCGGATTAAAGAACACTGATAATCAGCAATGTATAATGATCAACGGTTAGTGGACGACATTGCACAATAAACAGTAACAACCAGAAAACTTTGTTAGGTAAAACATTTTGGCAAATAAATCCTACACACTATTCATTCATTAAACATAATAATTTAGAATCAGTATAAAACCTTTATAACTATCTAAAAAATTTTTTTACAGACGAACAGACACTACCGGTTGGTTGCGAGGCCACGTCACTTTTTACGTAATGTTGTGAATACTGTGCAACTGTCGGCCATTTGAGATAATGTCCAAAAACTGACGTCGCTTATAAAATAGAAACACCGATTGACATTTTTAAAATATAATTTTTCTTTTAATGCGTATTACACTCATGCATATAATAATAAGAAGAAAAGGGTGTACCTACCTTTGATCAACAGTACCTACCTTTACATTAAAATAAAATTTAGTAATTTTTTGACAATTTGAGTTTTCAAAATTATTGCCAATATAAACTTGTGTTGCACGTGGTATAGTTACCTACATTGTAGCAAAATTAGTGACACAATAAAATGTGAGTTAAGCAGTCGCGATGTTATATACATTGCAAACAAAAAAATTGTATTTTCATTTATCTGAAAAACTATTTTTATTTACATTATTATCCAAATTGAACATTGACTTTACATCGCTAACGGAAATATCACAAACTTCATTTATTTATGCATTTTTACGTACATAAAAAAATGTAATTTGAACAACTATCAAAACATTTGTACACGGGCGCTGCTTATTTCAAGTTGAAATTTCTACCAGCAGGCTCACAACAGGAGACAATACAATTTAATACTTATCTATCCAGAAATGTATTGAGAGTCTTACAGAAATAAATGTCTACCACACTGTGTAACAAAACAAACGACCAGAGACTAACACCGCGTTGTTTTGCCGGCGCTCGGAGCATCGGTAACGTTTTCACTGACTGGCGGCAGTCAAGAAACGAAGGCCAACGTTAATTCACGTTCTATTCTGCAGCGCTTCCGAAATGTCTGGATGTGAGTAATTTTAGCATTTAACATGTAGATAAGTAAAATATTTAATCGTCTCTTTGTATACTATCACTCATTCTTAAATTTCAGCTGTTGCATTTATGGTTACATATACTTATAGCCGAATACGTGACGCCTTGTTACCTACTGTGTTGGAACTCGAATGTGACTTTTGTTTTTGGTAATCCGTAATGCACATTTATCATGATGACTCAAATAAAATTGGTTTAAATATATATATATATATTAATATATACTAATCTATACTAACAATATTATATAAAGAAAGATTTGCTTGCATTGAATAGGCTCCGACTTCGGGAAGCTACATCAGACGCGGGAACATCTAACTATTCGTAAATAACTATACTTTTAAATATCTATAAATCATTCTTATTTTACGGTTTATGAAATTGTTGCTGAGATGAATTCAGGCTATAATAAGATTTTTTTATTTACAATCGGTGAAAAGGAAATGTCTTCGTAATAAAAATTAAATAAGTAATTTGATCAATCTATGGGCAAATTTTGAGCAATTAGATTATTTGGGATATCAATGGCAAAATAATTAATAGCGTAGAAAAAACTTGGAAAACGTCTGTGTCCTTTAGCTTTTTTCTTTTTTCAGTAATAACAAATCTTTGTCAAACTTTTTCTACTTTCAGTGTCATTTAAATATATATTCCTGTTAAATCTGTATCATGTGCTCATTTGAACCACTGATTAGATAAAACCATCTGGTCGTTATTTTTATTGGTATTCTATTGTCGTTATTTTTATTGATAGCTGGCATTAAAACGTATAAGTGTATGTATGACGAACCATGGAAAGTACATATGAAATACCATTTCCTATGCAATGTTACTTTTGTTGATAATATATTTTCCTTACAGGATAATAAATATTCTAAACTCATTTCATTTAGTTTGGAGAGTGTTACAACTAATTTAGCACCATAATTTATATAATTATCTATATCATGTTACAGATCCGTATAACAACCCTCAATACCCTCAGTATCCGCCCCCTGGGTACCCACAGCAACCTCCACAGGCCTTTATGCCGCCTCAGCAGCCACCGAACCAGCTGTACCCCCAAGTAGCAGGGTTAAGTTATGGCCAAAATCCAGCCGCTATGTCATATCCTGGTATGCCACCACCATCAGCACCTCCCGCAGCGACTGGTCCAATGGGATTTGCCCCTGGGGTAGCTCCTACGCCTGTATACCCGGTTTATGGACGTGAGTAAAACCCACTGAAGTTTCTATTTTCCTCATCATCAGCCTATTAATGTTCCCACAGCTGGAAGTCAGGCTCTATAGATGGAATCCAACCAAATCGAATAAGGAGAATGGGCCATGATGATGAGTGCAGCTTCACTATTTTCTTTAGCCTATCAAACAATTTTCAAACGATTTTAGCCAATAGACCTGCAGTTATTGAACACGCACTTATTGTTTTATAATTTAGGATTATTGTCGGAATAACAATGAGCAGACTGAAAGTTTATTACTTTTATTTATCAGTTATTACATTACATTGTATGTTTACCTGTACAAAATACAGATATTTTGTAAATAGACAAGACATACACGTTGATATCTGTTACCTGCTACGCAAACCCTTTCTAGCAATTTACTTTCAAAATAAGTCTAAAAATCAAAGTTATTCAATGAGAACTAAAATATAGAGCTGTAACAATGTGTTCTGTATGTTTTTTGCTAATTTACCTGGTAACCTAGCCTCAACCTTCTATCCATAGTTCTCTATATTGCTTCCACAAAGTACTGCTTATATCTATGCACTATTAGATCGCTGACCTTACCCCATACAATAATAGTCAATAACAGGCGTCACACGCAGAATGGATTTCTCATCGATAAGATAAATATTGTGCCCCTACGAAGCCAAAAAGTAATAAATATTTTCTTCAATTTTATTACTATCTCACGAAAATGGATTATTATCAGTTTCACCTGTCTATTTTCCAGAACCGGTAGAATGGGTACCTTCAAACTGCGCTTCTGCAGAGATGCTTACACAGAGAGCAGTAGTGGCAGGCTACGAAGGCTATGACGGTAGTCCGCTGTGGGTAATCAGATCTCATTACGAAGGAGATCTTATACCCGGCAAGCTGGCTGTCAAGCACAAAGCTGCTTACGTTCCATGGGGAGGCAAAGAAAATAAAGTGGATAACTTTGAGGTTGGTACACTGTATAATCTTCTATATAAAACAATTGCTGTTCGTCTGTCTTGCTAGAATGGCTGGCACGATTTAACCGAATTGGTTTTTAATGTCTTAAAGAACGGTAAGAGGTGATACGAAGTGTACTTCGTTAATGTATTACTTTAGGAATTACGAAGTTTAAAATTTACTTAATTTTAAACGTAATGTTGATTCTCAAATCTACAACGTAGTTTTTTTCTCGTTGGATTCTATTGAAATTCCATTAACTTCGAAATGAATACATTAATAAATCAGAAAACTACATCACTAAGCAAGGATACCATCACAGTCAAAATGTAAATTTAAAGAAAATCACAATCTTTAAAATTCACAAGGTTTTCTTTTCAGTTCTTCCTTCTTTTGTAGAGAAAACTGATATATGTGAGTTATTTTCTAACCGAAGGCTTTATGGAGAACTTATACAATATCCATAATAGAAGACGACAAATATTTAATTAAAAAGAATTTGTTTTTAACGCGAAATTCGCTATCCCCTGTTCTTATCAACCTTAATTCTGGCCGCAATAAGATAGACAAGGATAGTCTTATGGTATATCCCCTCTTAAGGGTCAATAGCTTTGTATAATATAGCTTTGTAAATCTTTATAATGATAGTAATTTTTAATATTACATTTCTATAGTTGGCCCAATGATAAATTAACCATGTTATTTGTAGTTTCCAAAAATATGGGTCATATATGTTCCAGGTATGCTGTGCCCAACCTGACAGAGTCAGGTGGGTTGAAGCTCGCAATGGAGTTGTACCACCCAATGCCATTCCTGGAGGTAGAGTTTCCACTGGTGAAACCTTATACATAGGTAGAGCAAAAGAACAAGGATCTTTAACGCCGGGTAAAGTAAGTATCAAAATTACAATCCTCGTGAGAGTTTCCATTTTTTTTGCACTATTTAATAAATTATTTATTTATTCATAATCGTGCCAGTTTACAGACAATCTCCAAAGCACAGGCAAGCCATACATAATATGATTTAAAACAAACAACGAAATGTTGATCACTTATAATAAATAACATGAGATTATTATCCATAACACATAGTTTATAAATGATAAATAAAAATAAAAAGAGTATAAATAAGACGCAAATTGTTATGACAATAATAGGAATAATCAATTTTGTAAATAAACTTAAGATGACATAGCAACACAGTTATATCAAAGATTAAAATTAATGTTAATAGCAACCTCAAAAAAATAAATAATAACACAGTATGGTCAAAGGCAAAGTATTTCATAAGATTTCCTACATATAAGGTCCAAAGAGTCTACAAACAAATATAGATCGGCATACTGAGCAACTATGTCCCCGAGCAATCGCAGCGCACGTCTATACCCGTGGTCGTCAAACTGCGGCCCGCGACCGGTATTTGTGCGGCCCGCGTAATAGTAAATTATTTCAATGGTAAACCTACATATAAAAAACCTAATCTGAAGGCCCGGGTGCTGATACCCACATCCTGTCCTGTATGGCCCTTGGTCAGAAAAGTGTGACACAATTTGTTATTATGCAAAAAATATTTTGATATAGAAAAATGTCCTGACTTATAAAATGTTTTTGTGCTTACTTTACGAAAAGAAACATCTTTTTTATCAATGATAAAATTATTTCGTTTATGTATTTATCGGTTTTGCCAAAATACTTGTAGGTGTACGAGAAAGTTATAGAGACAAAACTACTGATCCGATTTCAATTTTTATATGGGACTACCTCCAGCCCATTCGTTGACCAATAAAACAAGAATTTTGAAAATCAATGAACATTCATAAAAAATACCAACCCAAACATGATTATGAAAAACCTCCTTTTCGATTTTGAAGTCTTTCAAGCTATTAACAACATAATTTTTTGTTATCTTTCAGATTCATCCCAGTCATAAAACGTTATACATGTCATTTGGAGGAGATGAAATTCCACATCCAGTCTACGAAGTGCTCTGCGGAGTTTGAAATCATGAATAAAAATATTCATGTAAAATGTTAAGAACGTCAAATGAATAAGCAAAATCAAAAATGAAACTTTGAACTTCATAATGTAGAAACTTTAACGATTCTTAAATACCGATTATAAAGATGCTACTTTTTCAATAGATTAATCGATTCCTATAGTTATACCTCAGTAGGATAATTTACTCTATAACTTGTATTGAAATTATGTCGTATTAAGCTTTCATGGTCATTTCCATTAAAATTATATTTCTTATGATAGTAATCCCGTAAAGAAAAACTATCATTCTAATTATATTTACACGCCCTTTTCTGGTATTTATCGTCTCATAAAAATTATTTTTGTTTATTTTAGGACCTTAGGGTCGAAGTGAGATACTTTTATGTGTGGGTATGCCCATTTAAGGCCTAAATCTGTATAATTATACATAAAGAAATTGTAATTTTAGAAGTATAATATTTTTACAAACGTTAACAAGCATGGTACATTGTTATTCGTTGAATATAAAATTATATATTTTCGCATTCATATAAATATATTATTATTACCTACCGTTGATAATCTAACCGAGTGGCTTGCACACCGATTTCAATGTCACCGAATTCAATTACCGGTTGAGTATTTTTTGTATATTTTCTCGGATGTATTTTATTTAGGGGCGAGACATCGATGCTTTTTCGATCAACAAAACGATATTGTTTATCGTTCACCTTAAATTAGTTTGAAAGACTATTTTTTTTCGACTAGTTTATGTAATAAACGGACTGAATGGAACAATATATCATGACGAAGTAACTAGTTTGGTTGTCGTCGTACATTAAACGATTATCAGAATAAACTGTTTAGACAACTATGTAGTCGTTGACGCAGCAACTGTTCAGTTTTGTACTCGGTGCAACTAAAATCATGGATGCTAAAAAAAGCGTAGAAATTCGTTAACTGATATCATTTAGATATGCCTAAATGTGAAAAATTGTTCTCTTGTCGATATTTTCACTAAATTCATCTATACTGAACCGATCGTGAAAATTCTTTCGATTCTTTACGGGAGCTTATATCATACTCGGGTAACAGACTATTAGGCGGAAAAAGATCATACTACATGGTAATAATCTGACATTTTTAAGTGTTTAAATTTTGTTTATTCTTAACTTTGCCTTCTTTCAATACTCAAATTGTACAGTGGCATAACTACAGGGTGGCAAGTCGGCAAAATGCCACGGGCCCCCAGCTGGAAGCGGCCCGCGGTCAGAGGAGACTCCTTACACCTGACATTTATTATTACACAATTAGTAAAAAAAATTTAATATCCGAAGAATTTGCCTCGGACCTAAAACGGTGTAATTTATACCGTTAAATATAGACTCGGAAGTTTCAGACTAAAGTCTGTCTCTGAATACTTTAACGTCACTTAAACAGGTTTTCGTTTCTGATTTTAGCTTTTTAATGACCAGTTGATGGCAGTTTGATGAAACTAGGACTTAAACCTTTAGTTTTTATATTAAGAATAATCAGTTGAGATATTGCTCTATTCTTAATTCAGAAACCACCTGTATAAATAATTATTGTATTATTTATACCACACTCCGTCGTTTGCATACCGGTTTGAAGATGTTGCCATCTCTGAAGACCGGAGATGGATTCCCAATCGGATAAATGTAGAAAATACACTTTTCTGTAATATATCTGTGGGCTTTTGCTTAGTTCAAATATCTGTCGATTTCCGTTGTAAGTTTAAGCGATCTATGGAGTTATGTAACTTTTAAAATCGCAATCGCTTCCGGAATAAATAATGATTTGATTGATAAGGAAACGTAAAAAAAATACTAAAACCGGTCGTACCATTACAGATGCATTTTGTTTGACATTTCCAATAGTTTTCAAATAATATGCGTCTAAAGCTTTCCGTAGACATATCCAATTAACGATATCGTTCATTCAGTATCCTTCATAAGAAAAACGTTGCAATCATAATCTTTATCATATGTCAAAAAATTTGTAGGGTAAAGTTTGTAAATATCTTTCAATTAAAATTTTTTAAGGTAATGTAAGATTTTAAAACCAGACAATTAACCCATTGGTCCAGATCAAGATGTTATAGTAGCTTTGTTGTTTCAGATTTTCATAAAAGCCACTAATAATTTGAACAATGTAGGTATTTTAGACGAATTTTATTAACATTTTCAATATTTTATACGGACTTAATAAAACAACACTAACAATAAATGGTACTACTTTTTATTTTTTTCACTTTATCATATAAAGACCTAAGTACATTCAAAAACAATAAATCTAGAAAACTCTCCCTGCTGAAATTAATCTTAAGTACTAAATATAATCTGTCATTTATCAGCACTTCCATTCTATCCCATTTTGTTTTCATTTAATATTCAATCAACTATATAATTCGTACAACAGGAACATTTTAAATATATCAATGAAGAGAAACAAATATCACAGTTTTAAATCATATTCTCTTAAAAGCCACTTTATAATTATAAAATTATTGAAAAAACATACATAAATTAACATAAGAATAGTATAATACCGCAACGCTATTTCATATAACCGTCTCTGAATCTTAGAATGAAGAACTTATTATTTTAGTTTTATTCATAACAGTATACATTCTAAACATATATATTTAAGAAAATAAAAATGATAACATTATCGCGTATACAAATTAAAACTATAAATAAAGAAAGGCAGAAAAACACAAATTCCGATGTCACAATATTACTAAAGCTTGAGATATCGAGACGAGAACAAAAATACAGACTAAGTTCCGTATAAAAAATCACCACATTACCTTTAAAGGAAAATCAATATTTTCGGAGAAACAAAACTAAACAGCTTGTCAATCTTTATTGTCCTATAAGAAATATATATATAAAAAATATACACTCATGTTTAGCAAACATTAAATTCGTCAGTTTTATAATATTTGAAGTGAATTTACTACAATTTTTTAATACTCTTATCATTTAACAAAATAATCAGGATAAGTTACTTAAACTATTCCCTATTGCAATTTACTAGTACAAATCATACTTTCAGTGAATCCCATTTCTATTTGGGATTGGTTAACATCATCAATACTGGAATGGTCTCGAGTGTCGTTTTCTTTATTCACGTGTTGTTCTGCAGATTTCTTTTCATCTGTTTCATAAGCCTTGTTGTCAATACCAATTTTGTCTGTTTTATTTTCAACTTCTTTGTCTTTGTTGGCTTGAATATGCTTTTTATTTGCTAGGTATAACCATCTGTAAATAATTATTGAAATATGATTTAAGTTATACTCAGGGGGTATAATATATTATCGTAGTGACTTGAAAAGCAATTCCGTCACTATTCAATACTATTGGAATAAAAATATCTATATCTGTATGGAAAGTAATTCCAATACGAAGCCCTACAAAACTTTGACCTTTGACCCAAAGTTTAGCACCTAATATTATTTTTATGAATGTTTAGGAACAATGCCATCTACCTTGACACAGATTTCATTAAATATATTCCTAGTATTCGTTAACTTAGTAAAATTGGTATTGCAAACCTGAATTGCTTGAGTCGAAACATAGTATTTATTTAGTGTGGTCTATTGTGTATTACGTGATCCAAATACTATTTACTACAAACTTTACCTTCGAATAAGAACAATGTATGAGTGTTATAGTAGTGAGTAGCTCAGTAATGTAGTGGATAAGTGCTGCAACCCGCGATCGTCGCTGTTAAGCAACTTTTGCAAGGGTCGATCGCGGAATGGGGATGACCAAAATATTATTTTCTTGAGTTGCTCCTTGCTGCGGAAGGTACGTTAAACTGTTGGTCCCGGCTGCAATTGTAGTCATTAATATACTCCAATCCGCTTTCAGCGGTGGACAGGAGGAGGTGGAGGGATACGGCCTATCCTTCTTAACCATCCCTATAGAACCTAAGCCCCTGAAGACTTAAAAGGTGATGATGTCGATTGGTCTATGGAAAATAGTACCAATACGAAGCCCCAAAAAACTTTGGATTTTGGCCCAAAGTTTAGCACATAATACTATTTTAATTAATATTTAGAAACAGTATCATCTACTTGGCACAGATTACATTAAATCGGTTCCTATTATTCGATTCGCTTAAGTCAAAACATAGTATTTATTTAGCGTGATGTTTTGTGTATCACGTGACCCAAATACTATTTACCACATACTTAACCTTGAAATTAGAGCAATGTGTGAGTGTTGTACAAAAAAAATAGTTTATCACATGTATACTCACAGGAATATAACCACTGCTGGAACAGTTAAGCCTCCTCCAAGTAAGAAGAATGCTCCAGGGAATGTTTTTATCGTGGCAGTGTATACGGTAGTATACATTGGAGCATAAACTAATGGCATCATAGCTTCTGCTACTCCATAGAACGAATTCACTTTACCTAGAATTATGCAATAAGTTTTGTAATGCGTAAGAACAGTGAAGATATAAATAACGCCGTATTATGTAAATACAGATGAGGTATGGAGACATTTTCAATAGTTTTGTACAATACCATTGCGGATCTAATAGTTTCGCTATTAAGAAATTACTTTGATTCTATCGATTTTTAGCAAAAGCATTAACCCTTTTCGGTGGTCCTGTGTTTTTTACTTAAGTTAGATAACCTACAATGTTCAAAATATTCTCATTGATAGAATAAGTGCGTCCTAAAACATTGCATTTTAAATATAAATTTTGTAAAATTGATAATGCAACTAGTTTATCGGTAGATAGCAACCCTGGATTAAAAAAACAATCCATATTTAATAATACTTTTTTCAATGTTATAGGTAAACTATCTTACCTTTAAAACTAACTATATGCGCCAAAAACTCAAATTTTCTAGACAGGTTTCTTTAGGTTCTAGAGTAAAGTGTGGTCTTTAACAACAACCAGTAAATCTGTTACGGTAATACCAATTAAAAACTCACCTAATTCATCTTTATCCACCAATTTAGATACCATAGACCTCATTGCAATGAAAGATGTTCCGTTGAATATCTCAATCAATGGAGCTGTAAAAACATATAATATTTGAAAATATAACATTACCACACTCATTAAATATTTTGCTGTATCTTCGGCAAACGTTTGCAAAACTTTGTTTCTTTTTACATATTTATTGTCAAGTCGTAAACTAATATGTTTACTTAGACTGTTATGAAAATATTACCTTCCATTGCGAGCAATATTTATTTAGAAATAGCTTCAACAACAGCAGCACTGATTTTTCATTTTATTTAATTTTGGATGGTGATTATTTTATTGTGGATGTCATTATTAGATTTGAAATATCTTCCATTCCATCCTTATATTGAGATAGTTTTAAAAATATATTTTACTGTCTTTTGCCCGCAACTTCATTTATGTTGTATTAGTCACTATTTACAGTGGTTTATTTTAAACAACTTCAAAAATAAAAAAAGGTTTTCAAAAACATCGTACTAAAATTCAAACTACGCATCTAATTGATTTGGTGTGAAAGACAATTTCTATTTTCATAAAGTTTCTTTGACGATAAGCATATTTGTTTCGATAAGGATCTAATATCACCTATTCAAATAAGCCTTGTTGTCAATACCAAATCGTTTCAATTTCCTAGTTCCTTCCACGAAGTATTGTATACGGTTCATATGTGTATTAAGACATAACAGTTATTAAATTACCTCAAAGTGCTGTTGATTCGTTAGATCAAATAACAGCATTGACTCTTGAGAAAATCAATCAAATGGTATAAGAATGTCTTTATTGATTTGTTTCTGAATATGACTAGTCAATGCTTTGACGCTTTATAAGAGTGTCACCAAGAAATATATTGCAATCGTTGACTTTAGAAAGCAAATACTGGATAGTTTACTGTGTCAACATGTAATACCCATTTCTCTGAGTATAACACGAGCTTAACACAAAAACGGGACCCTCTAAAGTTGTAAGACATCAGTGTCTAGAGTGTTACAAAAATAATGTAGCCTATCACGGATGCATTGCTGCTAAAATGAAAAGTAAAAAGTTTTTGTGATACCTATCTTTAGCAACCCATTTTTCTGTGCAGAATGTTTTGTCAAAGTTCATATTAACTTAATAATTCTGAAGGACAAAATATGATGTAAATTATACTATACTACACTTCCTATATGTCTGAAATTTTAGTAGGATTCTTAATTTTTGTTTCATAACAAAATACATAATAATATATGTCTATGATGTCAGTTTTGTGCTTTTCATAAATAAAATAAGTTTTTAAATCGGTCAGGTCATTTATTACACACAATTTTACAAATAATACAAATTTTCCTTCTTAGAATTGTTTTGCTGTGTATCATAAAAAACTGACCTTCCGTACAAACTTGTAGGTATAGTGTCATGTGCTTGAAATTTGGTACGAAAAACGTCTTATAGCACAGATAAAGGAAAAATTGCGAATACCGTAAATTTTTTGTAACATAATATTTATAATAAAAATATTTTTAATAATTTTAAAGTTATTACCCCTTTGCTATCAAAAACGTAGAGGTATCAAATTGAAATTCATATCAAATACTCACGTCAAATCAAAAGAAACAGCAATTAATGCCGCATATTTTCAAACTCGCAAGGGAATCACAACCTAAAGGGTACTTCCAGTCAACCTATAATCTTGAAATTTGGCATGAGGCAATGTTTTATAGCACATACAAAGGAAAAATTTCGAAAACTTATTTTTTAGCACATGACACTATACCTACAAGTTTGTACGGAAGGCCAGTTTTTTATGATACACAGCAAAACAATTCTAAGAAGGAAAATTTGTATTATTTGTAAAATTGAGTGTAATAAATGAATTACCTGACCGATTTAAAAACTTATTTTATTTATGAAAAGCACAAAACTGACATCATAGACATATAGATCAGTCCGACGCTGATCTTCCGTGGCAACCTTATATTCTTGAGAGTACCACTACGCCACGCTTACAACGCTCATAACAATATTCAAATAGAATAAACGAAAAATGCAATAAAAGTATATGAAAATATCATAATACGTAACTATTACAACCAATACATATATAAATAATCCAATAAGTAACGTGCAGAACTCTCACCCACGCAGAAATTAGAAAGCAGCCCACATTCACAAAGTTTTAGCCTGCTGTAGATTCAGTAAGATTTTTTTTTTATTAAATTTAAAACTCCCAACACTATGGCAACTTCTTATGGGGAGAGGTATCTTATTCCAACATTTCGTGGTGGAATATCGAAAACTACCACGAAATGCAGCCGTTCTATGTTTTGGACAAATCAGGCGTGAAACAGGTCGAATCTCCCGTTGTGAGAATGAGAGCTTACCAAATAGATAAGAGGGAGACTGTGTTTTAATGATTCCAAACAATAAACACGTACCTGACAAAAACGATCTTGACTGACGGACGGACGGATCCCATAAGGGTTTCTTATTTTTCTCTCGAGGTACGCAATCCTAAAATAACCAATATAAAAAAACTCACCTATGTATATTTGCCAAGTTTTTGTAGAAAACGCGTACATAAATCCAGATAGTATTTTGCTTGTGCACGAAATAACACCGATTATAGCGTCATCGTATTTTAGGAGATGACTAAATACTCCAACGGAGAACAATGTCCCTGAAAAATAAAATAGCAATTTCAAATAATAAAAAAAAAACATTGTAACGAGATATATTTTGCATAAAATATTATATTTCCTATTTCTAGAAATTCAAACGGTAAACGTTCTCTTCTGCCTTACATGACTCTGAATTAATGTGCACAAATATAGATCAATGGAAGTTACATTTGCTCATTCACTCTCTCACTTTAATTTTTTAATAATCATGTAAGGCAGAAGAGAACATTTCACGTTTGAATTTCTAGAAAAAAGGAAAACAAGAATGTGAATCTAAATGACGAATTATTTCTCGAAGAATCATAAAGAGAAGAAGTTACCGCTCCTTTGTTCTAAAAATTAGAGAAATTACTTACCAAACGGCCTTTTACCAGCTACCAATACTTAATACCTACTATTTAGCCTAAATAAATTATAATTTTTTCTTAATCATATTGATAATATGTAATGATACGTTAGTTACGAATTCTAATACACCTATAATAGCATTGAAATTTGATTTTTTATGACGTTATATCCATTCTAATGCAATCTTATAGTATCATAATCAGGTATTCGGATAATTATATCGCTTCTGCGTTAATGCATACCGTTGTGAATGAAAAATTCACAAAAAAAGGTTTATTTACACGTAATTATTTTAAAAATAGCCTTGTAATTGGATGAATTCAATAGACAAATGTATAACTATTGTTTTCAATCTCATCTAAATAATTTATACAGATTCTTAACTTTATTAAGATAAAACGACAAAAAATATGTATATTACTAATTTATATATAATATATATTGAAAATAATAGGAATTTCCGAAATTGTCACAAATAATCTAACCATATTTTAAAGTAATACATACCTACTAATGATGTACACATGCTGTACGTAGAAAACATACTGAAGTCGACCTCGTTCCAGTTGAAACGATACCTGGTGAACAAATACATCACCGACATCTCGCCTGGAAAGAAACAACAAAACGATGAGAATGAGTACCTATATTTTTGTATCCTGCCTATCATCAAAAATTAAATATTAATTATTCATAACTGCCTACCAATTTATCCGAGTGGTCCGGTTCCTGTATTATACATATAAATCATAATCTTGAATTACTCTTTATGTTTTTCAAAACCACATTAAAATTCGTTGTATAGTTTAAAAGCCAACGTACAGACAACGAGCGGGAAGCGAATTTGTTTTATAATATGTATAGGTAGGCACTTTTCAATCGCCCAACTTTTTTATACCTATCACTCGTTCAATAATGAATTCCCATATTTATTTATCACCAAAATGCATCATGAAAATACAAAAACGAACAACTAAAAGATGAGACAATGCTTTAACTTAAAACTAAGTTATGTCATGATAAAATTATCATCAATTTTATAACCTAAAGTTTCTTCTTGATGACTTAAGGTTTCTTGATTAGATTTTATAGAAACTTTATCAAAGAAGTAGTTATAACTTCCACTTTTCTATTCTAAATCCTTAACAAATGCCCTGTTGCTGTATTTGAAATACCTATAAGAACTCCAATTATATTTTCTTTATAAAAAATAATGAAAAAATATATAATATAGTTTTAAATGAATCCAAATTGTTCATAGTTATGAAAATAAAAAGTAGGCACGTGTAACGCGTTTTTTAGTCACATAAGAACAAAGACTTGACGTCGATCTGATGTTAAAAAACGCACGTGCAGCGTGAGTAGGCTGTCATTTTTTTAATTATTATTTTCTTGAAACTACACGATTGCCATTATAAGAAGATTGTGACTGTATAATTATGTAGTACTAGCCGTTCACCCGCGACTTTATCACCCGTAAGCCTTTGTCACCCGCGCATGAAGAATCTTTCCGTATGTAAAATATTTTTTGTACGCGCATGATGACGTGCAAACATTTAAATGACGTAATCGATTCGAAGCGACCGCAGTATGCTTAACATAGTAACATGAAAGAAGCGACTAGACTAGGCACATTGCAAAATTAACATATCTTCCACTTGTCTGTGGTCTTACGCTTATGGAAGTTCAGAGAGTGAAACTTGATTAGAAAGTGACTCGGTTGATGTAATAAACGCTTAACTTAGGAACGGCATCCAATGCCAAGGACAGTTTATTTATTGTTTGTGTTCTATAACTAAAATGCATTGAACTTACGTCAAGCTATTGTTACTCTTATCCGAAATAGGCAGAAATATTATTGTGTACGTCATTTCGTATCCAAAAATAATAACGTTAGTGTTAAGCGTTGGTATGGGAATTAGCATTTAGCTGAATTGCTGAGGTAAGGAGTTGAGAAGACGAAAGATATAGAACATGCCCCGTAAGGGATACGGCGAGAAGCTTTTAAAATATAAATATATAAGGATGAAGTATATTAGTAATGTTATATTTATGGGTTCGTTTTGAATATACGTGAAAGATGATGTGTGTGATATTACTAATAATAATATTGGACTTTAGGTAGATAGTACAATGGTAAAATGCGAGTCGTATAGATTCTATTGAGATGCGATTATTACGTAAACATATGCAGACTTGGCCTACTGGGACCTCCTTGTCAGTCATGGCTTGCCCTGCGATTCTCTAAAAATCGAGACCCAAATTAGAATTCACTCATGTATCCGAATCCACGTTATTTAGTGAAGAAGTTCTATCGATGCCATTTATTGTATAAAAATACAAAACAAATTATACGTGTCTCTGATATTCTATTCCTATGTGTTTTCGGGACTCACTTCACTTATGCCACGAATCGTTATTACCAATTCAAGACTGTGCTGAGGCCGATTTTTAAAGTGGATTCGGACACTTGAGTAAATTCGAATTCGGGTTTGGATTTTTACAGAATTACGGGGCTATTCGATTTTATCACCCATCCCTTGACCGACCCTTGTGAAAGTTGCTAAACAAGAACGATCACGGGCCGCGGCGCTTATCCTCTGCGCCACTGAGCTACTTCAAAATTATTGTTTTAATATATACGTAATGTTTATGTATTCTCACCGTATATAGGTCCGATGACAACACACAGCACCACCACGAGCATTATGACACGGAGCCTCCTGTTGTTTGGACCAGGCTTAAATGCGACCATCATAGTCTCCTTCACGTAACGAAGGTCAAAGAACATACGGAGCCATTCGCAGCAATTTCTTGGTGATTTCTGCAAATTATAATATTTTCTTCACTAACATAGCGACATTGAATTCATATAGGTACTATACTAATTTGATTTCAGTATAAGTTATTAACCGACGTCAAATTATAATATTGAGGTCCTACATGATGGTCTTACCCTAGATTTTATTTATATTGAGGTCAATAATAAGCCCATTATAAATTAAAAACAAGCTATGACATTCTGTAATAAAATCAACATCTAACATGCTGCAAAATCAAAGATTATTAATTAAAATAACACTCTAATACCTTTTGTAGTAGGATTTAATTTGTTGGACCTCTATACTTTGACAACTCTGAGTTCAATATCTAGTTCAAAGCTAATTTTATTGTAGCTAAGAAAACAAATTCGATACGACAGAGTGTAGAACGCTGTGGCTACTGCCACTAGAGTTTCAATGAACGACCAAAAAATTATAATCTCGTGCTATTCTTAAGAGACGCACGTTAAGCACGCGTTCGCAGTCGTTTATACCCTCCAACGTGCATTGAGCCAGCGTAAAATGTCATGGCCTCCTTAATCATCCATAAGGAAGACGTGAATGCCTGCAGTGGAGACATAAAAAGGGCTGGTGATGATGGTGAAAGTTTTGAAGTATGTTTTTTTTATTGAACCTCTACTCTATGACAGCGCTTTTTATTGCAGAATAGCACTGCTGAAGGCGGACACGTGAAATTGTTGTTCCCGACTGTATTCTTTTCTGCAGTAGTTAGCATATAAATAATATCGGTATTGAACCCGTTAACAGACATTGAAGAAGACAATAATATTTGTTTTATTTTATTTTTCTTAGAAACAAAAAAGTTATTTTGATTTAAAGGTCTTATTTTAAGTAATTTCATAAAAACAACAATCAACAATCGTGATGACATGAGATGTGTGGTTCAAAGGTAGCTAGCTAATGATCCTCCAATATCCCCAAAACGTTGTGTCGGTCCGTGCACCAAACATCCTGTACATATAAGATAACGACACCACAATAATGCTTATGAATACTAGTTTCCACATTGGAGTCTGCTCCAAGATGAGAAGCTAAAGTCCTCGTATTACGTACTAAGAAGGTATCATAACACCACAGAACATAGAGAGTAACACACAGCCTCGATATATTCAATAAAAGTCCATTTCCTACAATAGGGATGATGACTGGGTAAAAAAAATGCGATTCTATTTAGTCCGTCAGTCAGATAATAGAAAAATATTAGATACGTATTTTTTTTACTTCAATTTATCAAGAAATAGCTTAGATAACGGACATTAAAGTTGAGGAGTGGGGGCTCGCTACGTCACAGTTGAGTAGAAAACGTACTCTAACGTGACGTCATGCGAAATTTCAACTCAATGTAACGCCGTAATTTTATAATTACGATAAAAATAAAAAAATACGTGTTTAATATTTTTTAACACTCTACCTGACGGACAAACAAACAAAAATTAGTCGTCATCCCTATTGAACCCACCGGGAATCGAACCTAGGACCACAGAGATAGCAACATCTTGAAACCTACGTGGGACTGCTACGGTCATCATTAATTGACTAATTTGTTGGAAAAAAAAAACATTATTCGCCGGCAGACCAGGTTCAAATTCCGTTTAATGATATGTAGACTAAAAAGTCGAAGGCCCTTCCTCTCAACCGAGTGTGACACAGCTTCTGGGTCAAGTTGATGGCCTTTTTTTATTTGTTCCGCTCAAATAATTACCATCTTAGTCTTTGAACTTGAGGCCTATTACATAATTAATGAAGTACGATTAATTCGACCATTTCACGGCAACTTTTTGTACGCTTTTTATTACCGCGTGAGTGTCGTTTTAAGACTAAAAATAATTTTTCACAAACAAACTACTGTTATATAGCTAACTGCCGAATCAAATTCGCAGACTGGTGTAAAAATAAATCTTTTGTAACTGCATTGTTAGATATTTACCTTCAAAATATATCAAGAACGTAGATATATCAGAATTTATTTTTAATAGTGAAGCAAAGATCTGTACCGAAAAGCAAGATGTATATTATGATATTTTTTGCATTCACACTGCTATGGTGGTTTGCATGGTATAAACATGGTGTATACTCTTTAACTATAAAATTTTATGCTATTGCTATCACTTAACCGTGTGTTATGAGCTTAAATGTATAAAATCTATCCATTTGGTGCGGGCTGAATTAAATTTAATCACCCCTTTAGAGATCCCACAACTAACTATTATGTTTCGTTCTTAAAATATAGCACTTTGTTTATATAATTCCAAGTACAATGGAATATGCGATGCACTACAAAGGATTGCAATTTGCAGTGACCTAACAACGTGGATTCTATGTATAAAAAATGCAAACACTGCTTGAAGTCACAATACCGAGGAAATGGATAGCCTTTAGGCGTCATCCTAATTGGCCACGTTTGTACGAGCAGACGCTGTAGTAATTGAGGCGCATAAGCGTCACGCGAGCGCAAGACTTCCATAATAATAAAAACCGGCCAGGTGCGAGTCGAACTCGCGCACGATGGGTTCCGTATCACGTTTGTTGTTTATAGGAGCCCCCTGAAATATTTATCTTATTCAGGTTTTTAGTATTTGTTGTTGAAGCGGCAATAAAAATACTACTAACTTTCACGGTGCTTGGTGACAGACAGCGAATTCTTGGTAATATTTTAAAAAATAGTTCCCGAAATTAAACTAGATGTCGCTATGTAGCGTGGGGGTTGGTAACGTGTTTCCCAATAGCTAGTAGCGCGAGCCTAATCTTACCTCTATCGGTACCTTTTTGGACACATGATGCAATCCTCGAGAGTCCTTTAAAATTTTTCTATCCGTCTCATAATTTGTTTTGTCACTTTTCAACTTTCTTTCTGATATCAAAAAACAAAGAGTTTTGAATATTAATAAATTGCTCATACTCTATTTTTAGCTTTTTATTTATCTCTTATTATCCTTTACCTTTGAACCGGAATGCGATAGATTTTGACATTAGTCCACAGAACACGTACCATTTATATGAAAGTCAGGTTTTTTCCGAACTAAAAACGAAAGGTATGAAGCGACATATAGACGTTTTAAATATCACTATATACTTTGTATGAAAGGCACGCGTTTTTTGATAAGGAAACCGAACATAGTAAACGAATGTCTGAAGCCATGCCGTATCGTAATATGATTCTTTTTTTAACCAAACACTCACTACTACTCGTCACTCAAAGCATTTAACGCTAAGCACTAAGCTAAGGACAATATATCCCTATATATACTTTTTTTAGGTTTATTTAAATATATCTTAAAAACTATTATGCATATTTCTAATTATATACATATTTATTTATCTTAAAATTATAAGGACGTGTACAATTTTGTTACCGTCGCATTCAGATTTTAACCAGCAGCTGCAAACTATGGGCCTTCCGTCATTAATGAAAACCGGCATATAACATCTACATGCCTTCTGCCTTCATTCTTACTTTCCATTTTCTGTTTCCTTTCTTTTAAAACGTCTTTACTTTCTTCCCTTCTTTATTCTCTGCCGTTATCTCTCTCTCTTTTTCTTCCTGAATTGATTTCTCCTTCTTTGGTTCCAACTTGATAATTCCACAGAAACGCATCCAGACGCTCTCGGTGGATGTCGTACCGTCAAACTACCATAAAATCGAAATAATTATGAAATCTTTGGTCCGTTTTAACGTTACCGTTACATGTTAAGAACTACATCCGTGTCAAGAACTGACAGAGCGCATACAGTACCAGCATCTAATTTAAAAAAATATCCTAAAGCGATGGATTTTCTAGTGCGATCCATCAATCAAAATTAAAAATCTGTTTTGTAAATCTGTGAGCATAGAAGATCATAAAATAAATAAATGCAGTTAAGAGGACAAACTTGGTTTGTTTGGACAAAGAAACAATGTCCAAACAAGCTTCAACCAGAAGTGAGCAAAATGCATTACTTATGTGGGGTTATTGGCTGGTTCAATATTATAAATACGAATTTATGTGAGGGTATATGGATTTACGTATGTTTATATCCCATTCACGTAAAAACTAGAGAAAGGATTTTGATGAAATTTGGTGTTCAGTTCTAAGCTATACAATGTCTAAACTAGGCTCGATCATACCATGACGACCAGTAGTATTTCAGTTTTGTGCATAAGACTGTATTAAGAAGCCAATTCCTGGTTACGACTTTAAATGTATGACGATTTAGGGCGTATGAAAATAGTCATTTGTTTAATATACTTATTTTATAGAGGTGGTCTATTAAAAACAAAAAATCTGTGGCCGAAATAGTATTTGCTACCGCATTGTCAAAATGTTGTCAATCATTTCTTTATGTACCCTATTTTAATTGGAATCGGTTCATTCAAAAATAAATATTACATGCATTAACTTAAAAATCAAATATCTCAAGCATAATTCTACTTAACATAACAATTATAATACTAACATATTATAAGAAGTTAGCGTCATAAAAACTATTATTTAGACGTAAGTACTTGTAATTATGTTTTACCGCACTAACTTAATAAAGACCATTTTTTAAAATGAGCCCAGTGTATCTTCACAGCGAACTGTTTCAATTGATACACGTATTGAAGATGTAGATCTTAGTATGTTAGATTATATTTAGAACGAAGTAATTTTATTATTTTCGACATTTTCTTATCATACCATTTTTACGATACCCATATCATCTGTCTGTCATCAGTCATCATTCGTCAGTTAATAGATTGCTTCACAAGCAAACACGTTACAGAGCTTTAGCCTTTTTGCATTGTACCGACACACATGCCAACTTGCGTCTATTAATTTTATTTCGTATCTATATTTTTGACATCTAATGGATTAAAGCAAGTATACTATGCCAATCCTTGCTCTCATAGTGCATCATGATTTGTAGAGGTACTTCTCTGACAATATTGAAAAATTGAAATTACGCAATGGGCCATACTAAAAGTTTGTACTTTTTAACCATTTAGATTCAATACTGCAGATTAATATAATTTATGTGATGTTATTTATGCAAAGAATACTAATGAAACAACAGAAGAATTTACCAACCCGAAAAATTAGACAAAACGTAGTAAATATAACATATATAAAATTCCTAACAAATTAATTCTGGAACATCAAATTTTTCATTCATAACATACCCTCTTACATAAAACTGTACACAAAGAGGATCACTGTTTTTTTATTTATTTGGTACTAGCTGTAACCCGCAGCTTCACCCACGGGGTCCCTGGGTATTGTTTGCACAATGGACTGCTTGCTAAACTGGAGTCTTAAGCTAATCTTAATTAAAGATCTGCCAATAAGCCTACAGATTCATAGAATAATCGTTAGCTTATCCGCGTGCTCACTGATGGGGCATAGATGGAACCAAATAAGAATAATCTACTAGTGTTTTTGTGGATAGCATTGTCTTCATAGAATAATCTAGTTGCTCTTCTTTCCATTTTAGTGCGCAGTAGAATCAACATACCTTGCAAAAAATACAAACAAATGTTTTCTTTGTAATATAAGTTCTTTTATTCGTTTAATAATTAAGTAATTTTCCTTTGATCTTCGATATTTCACTACAATGCTAATTCTGGATTTCCAGATAAAGGCATTTTAAGGATCAGCTTCGTGAAAGCAATATTAAGCAGAGGCTTGTGCAAGATTTTAGGCCTGATCCTCATAGCAACTTGACGGTCAGCTGGTTCTTGCTTTCTCAACTCAGCATTTTCAGAGATCTTAGTGCGTAACGTCAAATTAAATTTTGTCAACTGATATTCTCCCATGTCTTCAATTCGTAGGTATCGAACGAATATAGTTTCGTCCACTCAGTATTTTTTCGCCTAATTTATTATTTAACTCTGATACTTTGAATTTTAGTTGTTATTTTATATAATAATGTTGTCTACCATTAGTATCTATATTTCAAGTATTTTTTTGATTTTTAGTCAAAAAATAATCATCGGCAGATTAGTACATTTTTCGCAGACATAAGTTTACGCCTCTCGGTTTAATTATATTAAAGTAGGTATCTTATTAATAGTGCCTATATATTATTTTGTCGTCAAATGAATAATCCTCCATTAAAATATATTATTAAAAAACGGGAAAATGCATTACCGATTATCCGATAAAAAGGCAAAAAAAAAAATTCCGATGATTTCTTCGAAATTTTCGACTTCAATACATTTTCGACTATTACTCGTAAATTTGTAAAGCCAACTTAAGTGTGATAGTTTTCCTGTTAAATTCTTTATATATAAATACTACTGTCGTAACGTTTGAGTCTACCGTTTTATGTTCCCCCTCCCCAACCCCCAGAGGACATTTGGCTCTAAAGAAAATTGTCACTGTGAAGCTTAATGAGTCACGAATGTTTAACTAAATCTAAAAACAGTCTTCCCACACGCCTAATATTTTTAAAAGACCTATCCTACGATACCCTACGCTTTGGGAAGATACATAAAAAACATCCTTAACTCTACATGTAAAAGTACCCGAAAAAAAAATCATTTAAACTATTTAAAAAAGTGTGTATTCATGCTCAATTATACCTTTCTAATAGTAATCATTTTTTAACTAAACCGCATATCGACAGACATTACTACACTATAGGGGTACCTTGTTGACTATGGGACCGCTTAATTAAAAATGAGAGCGACTTGATAAAAATCGGAAAAAATAAAGACTACAAATATAACAAAAATCAAAATCTCGTTTTAAAAGTACAGTAGCGTCATCTAGTGATCGGTAGCGTCAGCTAAATGTAACATTTTCGTGTTCTTATCCAACATAACATTCATTTAATATTAGCGATAACGATTATACCGATTTGAATTATTCAAAACATTATTTAATCCTGCGTAAATACCTTTAATCATTTAATCAAATTGAATTCTTAACAATGGGTACTATGGTAACGATTTAATGCCCTATAAGAACTAACTTCCACTCCTATTTTCATTCCTTTTTGTGCTTTTTTTTTCGAGATAAGATAGACATATGCTGCTGCCGAGTTTAGAACTTTTAAAGGGGATACATTTTTTTAATACATACTTTTGCGTAACTTTCATCGTTTACACAGCGCAAGCAAGGAAACCTCTTAAAAAGTAAAATATGCTCCCGTTTTCGCAACATTTTTCATTGCTGCTCCGCTCCTACTAGTCATAGCGTGACTATATTATAGCATATGTCGTGCAGCCATATGTGTATTTGTGATATATGCAAATTAAACTTATAATTCATTCACTTGTTCATATCATAAAATTCCACAAAAATAACTAGGCCGCCATATTGAACCGTCCGCCAAATTATATTTAAAATTTAAACTCACTAACTTTAAACTCAGTTGAGTTAACCATGCATTATCGTTTAATTTAAATCTGTATACAAAATTTCGTCTTGATTTCAAGATCAAAAGGTCTAATGTCCAAAAATGTATTTTATTCTATAAAATATTTATTCAATAAATAACTCTTTATTTATTGTTATTTTTTTTATTAGACTTTATTGACCAGTAATAAAAAAAGGTACAAAAGGCGGACTTAATGCTAATGGCATTCTCTCCCAGTCAACCTTTAGGAAAAACGATAAACGTGATGGCGGCATTAAGAAAAGATTAACTATGCATAGACATGCATAGAATCTGACTAAAAATATATATTTACATACAACTACATATATACATACAATAGCACAAATATAGATACATAATACTGATGATGAATTTTACATATTTTTCATAAGAAAGGCATGAACTTTGCGTTTAAAAATAAAATTATTGGGAGATCTTCTGATGGGGTCAGGGAGACTATTCCACAGTCGTATGGCTTGGAGGGTAAAAGAGTCGAACATAAAGCCAGAATGAAAAAGAGGAGTTGAAAGTGAGAGTGTGTTAGAAGTACGGAGTTGTCGATTGCAAAGATACTGGAATTTACATTTTAAGTAATCATGAGAACGGGGTTTGGAGAGAACAGAAAAGAGTGTATTAATTTAGTTATTTAAATTCAATGTCAATTTTTATACATGATAAATCGATGCAACAGTGCAAATACAAATCCTATCCTATATTCCTATATATATTTATATATATATATATCATACAATTATAATCACTGACTTCCTGGTCAAAACAATTTTAAATTACAGTTACTTAACTAGGAATAATTATAATATTTAATCACGCAGATGGAAGGTATGAATTGGACCGTAAATGTCATCTTGTCGATCCAATAATCAGCATAAAGACAGACAGCCTCTTATTTAGTTCAATGAACCGTTTAATTCTACCTTCTCACCAAGGTATTGTATTAAAATAAACTATGCTTATATTTATAAATATGCACAATGAGGATTAAATGCCAGTAATAGACAACCTTATAAAAATGACTATAGGGAGAAAACGTATTATTATATGTATTACTTCCTTCTTATCTGTGAATGAGCCAATTTAGGATTTTAAAATCGAATAAAAGTAAGTGATAATTTTAAACTAACCACAGACAAAAACAACATTACTTGAACCGTCAGTTGCGATTTATTATAAGAAATCACTATTGTCACTAAAACCAAGAACGCAAATATCATAAAAATTGGTCCAGTCGTTCTTGAGTTATAAATAGTGTAACTAACACAACTTTGTTATATCTATAATATATAGATTGATAAAGATCAAGGTACTCACTGTGCTCAGTTCTGGTCGTTTCACCTCCTTTATCCTGTAGAATCCGTAGAAGAAACTCAATATATACAGAGATGCACTTATAGAGAACACACCATATAAACCTATCTTTCTCACTAATATTCCACTTAAAGCCGCACCAACAGGCACACCTACTGAATAGAACAGATTCACAACACCGATCCTCAACGTTCTTTGTTCCTCCGTTGTAACATCAGCGATATAACTGAACACCCCCATGAACATAGTAAACCAGCCTCCGGTTAAAGCAGGAAATATAGCTTCAGTGACAGCAGCAACTTCAACAGGTAACTCATGGAAATAATACGTGTTAGCAATTAAACCAATGCTAGTGAGAAATTCTCCGATGATTGGCAAAAGCATGCAGAATTTTCTTTGACCAATCCTGTCGCTGTAAGCTCCCAGAAATATTAATATTCCACACGGCAAGAAAGATTGTAATACCGTTTTCCAACCGGTAACTGAAGCAACTAATGTCTGTACAGCTTCTTCCTCATAAGTATAATTAGTTGTTTCCCTTCTCGTCAAAGCATCGCACACGTGATGATCAAATCCCAAATTTACGCGACAAGCTTTCTCTAAATATAGGTTTTGTGTCGCTAAAGCTGACAGGACGGAAGGCATCACGTAGCATGCCAGTATTGGCTCCACGGTTATCAAAGACATCATTCGCCGCGTTTTTTGGAATATGTTCATCTCTTTCCAGTTTTCATGTTTTTCCTTCTCCTTCATTTTTTCAGTTTTCTCTTTTCCTATGTTATTTTTTATTAAATTTATTTTATTTAAGTCATTGCCGTTCATTTGCTTTTCTAATGGTTTATTATTTTCCAAGTGTTTCACGTCGGCAGTCATTGTAAATATCTGGAACAAAACAGACCTAATGAATTTTGATTGAACGTTTTTATTTTATAACCATCTAGCGTTATAAAACTATACACTGGCGCCAAAACATAAAATTAAGAAGATTTATTCAGATATTATAATATAAATTAAAAATTCGAATCCTCTAGCTATACTACATAATACCCTTTTTGTTTTAATTTTTCGGATATATAAATATTACCTATCAATTGATGACTAAACTATACTAATTTAAAATTTTGGTTGTGTTTAAAGCTAGGATTAAAAAAGTACTTTAAATATTTGAAATGAATTATGCTTAAAAATCCACAAGACAGGCGAATATGAGATGAGATGGTCGTGGGGTATCTGGGGCTAAAGTTTTTTTAGCATTTTTCATTAAAAATAGCATTGATCAAATTGATCGAATTCAATAATTTTAATACTTTATGTTCGAGAATGGTGGTAAATACAAAAAACCTTAAGTTAATAAGTTGTACATAGCAGATTCAAGATTGAATAAATAATATTTTTATTCTAACGTCCTAACGTTAGCAGTAGGTATATACGTACTCAATATGTATCTTAAAAAGATGATAATTTTATCTGATTTTGTTCTCGTATTTCGCTAGATGTACTCTAACTTCGATTGGTAAATACAGTGTACGCCGGATGCTGTAATCATCTGATGATTACCAACGTAATTAGTGTAATTGTCGCTGAAGTTCAGACGAAATTAACTTTACCTACCTTGTAACAAAATATCTTGACATCTATTATTTTTTCCTAGACTATAAATATAAAAGTTAGTTTCAGCTACATTTATAAAAAAAACCAAGACCAATGCTTTCGCGTGAAGAGGGCTCCGCAAAATTATTAAAAAAAAGACTTTTTAGAATTTTTCCTGTACTTTATAATTACGAACGTTTTATGTACTTTTTTGAAATTTTATACCCAATATTAGATATAAGAGAGATTGCTTCATTTTACGTATATCCAAAACATAAAAATTATAATATACAAAAATATAAACAAATATTTCAGATTCTCACAAACCCTTTAATTTGATATCCCATATTTAGGTCACTGGCTTATTATGAGTTCTAAATTTCTATTCAATCGGTCCAGTCCTTCAGAGAAAAAACTTAAAAAAAATCCGACATCAAACTTTACAAAAGTGATAAATGATACTGGTCTCTAAAGCGACTTATTCAAGAAATTCTATTGAAGTTATTTAATTAATAAATCTACAGAAGACATCCGCTCGACTTCAATAGCATTTTCTGGAATAAATCGATAAGTATTATTTATCGCATTTTTAATGTTAGATGTTGGTTTTAGTTGTTATAATTTTTATTTTATACTTTTTAGAGATATTGTATTTTTTTTTTTTTATAATAGGTTACACGAAAACACGGATATAATTACAATGACAAATTAAATTGTAAGCAATTGTTACTACGCTAACGTTTTCATTCCCTATACAAACTTCCACTCCCATTTTCTTCCCTTTACTTGCTGTTTTTCGGGATAAAACATAGCCTATATATACCGCGTGTGATATAGCTTCGAATAGGTGAAAGAATTTTTAAAATCGTTACAGTAGTTTCAGAGATTATTCGTTGCAAACAAACAAACAATCAAATCTTTCCTCTTTATAATATTAGTAAAGATATACATATAAATAAAACATAGTGAAAGTCTTAGAATAGAAAATATTGGTTATTTGCTCGACATATTATTTCCAATAATTCTATACTTATATTATAAAAAGGAAAGATATGATAGTTTGTTTGTTTGCATTGGATATTCTCCAAAACTACTGGGTCGTTTTATAAGTCTTTCATCTATAGGAAGCTACATAATACTCATTGGCTATAATTTACGCCGGCGAAGTCGAGGGGAAATAGCTAGTTTGATAGAAATTGGTTCACAATTCAAGAGAAAACCGACTATCGAATAGAATTGACATACTTACTTTCATAAAAAATATACATATTCCTTGAATATAAAAATTCCTCCTTTCGTATTTTGAATTCATTCAAAATACGCAATCTTTTGTTTTTTAGCTGAAATAGATGAAATACAATACATATTGTCTAAATTTTTAGGTGATATATGTAATTTATTTAGTTGTAAAGGGAAAACTACTGATTCGATTTCGATAAAATTTAAATGGGACTATCTCGGTCCAATAAGGTCTCGAATAAAATATAATAATTTTGGTAATCAGTCAACAATTCAAAAATAAAATAAATAAATATTAGTGGAAATAAAAAAATATTGAAAAAAACTTATTTCGCCATCGAACATTTTTGATTTTGAGGTCAATTACAAATCAGCTGAGAAACTGATAGAGACAAGCATAAAAACTTATCATTTGATAACAATTCTGTTTTTTAGTATGTAACCCCGAAAAATACCTACACGGACAGAATTTTAAAACAACCATTGCAACAAAAGTAAGGTAAATTTACGTTTTTTAACACATCACAAAAACGGGGAATTTTTGAGAAAACGCTTCGCAACGCCAAATAATGGCGCGAAAATTATAATTTAACACCATAAATTGTATGTTATTACCATTATAAATTTTCATAAAGTAGTTTTTAGTTTTCCACTGTTACTATATGTTTTCCAGTGACTTAGCCCGCGTAAATAAAACCTATGTAAACAGAGTATGATATTACTTCTCGTAAGGGAAATTTTCTTTAAAATTGGCGCAGTAATTTTATTTTATTTTTCATGGTAGATCCACGGTTACATCAATGAACTTACAATATCGCTACATATATCAGATAACCAATTACCGATCCACACAGTTAGCCTTAAAATAAGGTAACAATTTTGAGTTCACTCGGTAGTTGTGAGGTATGAATAAAGACACATATAACAAAAAGGACACACGCAAACAGTATATTTCTTCTTTTTTCCTTATTTATCGGATTATCGTTCGCTTGTAATTTAAAAAAACATTTTTGACCCTAATGCAAGTGAATAAGTAATATCGCAGCCGATTCGTTGAAAACAAATAATCAAATCATTCCTCTTTATAATATTAGTATAGATAATATTGGAGTAATTGCATTGATTGAATGCATTTATTGAGCGATTCTTCTCATAATGCCTTTTGTTTTACTTATTGGAATACAAACAATAGTTTGTCGTATCAGTCCATTAAAATTTCCCACAGTCACACACTATTGTAATCTCCACAACATTATTTTCAGGTATTCATTGTGGAATTTAATCATTTAAATACTCATAAAGTTTTTATCAGAATGAGAAACAAGTGACTCTTTGAAACTAAGATAGAACACGAAGAGATAATTATAAGTAAATAAATTATTTATTCTCACAAAGTGGTCTGTAAAAATCACGTTTTGTCTATGGTGTTTGGTATACCCAACTTACAAGTGTAATTCAGACAAAGAACATTGTAATGAAAAGTGCGATAACGCTATGTAGACTGAAAGGTTTACTTTCAAAACTTTTACTCTATAATTTGCAGTATCAGTGGAATAGGCATGATAAGTAAAATACAAACATTTTTGAAAAACTAGAACCGACTTCAAACTTTTAAGAAGTGATAAATAATACTTATCTTAAAAGTGACTTATTCAAGAAATTGCAATTTAAAAGTTTGAAAAAAAAATCACTTTCTAAAAGTTTGAACTCGGTTGTATTTTTTTTAAAGTCTTTATTTCATGCTTTTTAGTTATATTTATATTTTTTTACTAGCTTTCCGCCAGCGGCTTTGCCGGCGTTGTCCCTATGGTTCTATTTCGTGAAATAAATAGTTAATTCAGGCTTAAAATTATCTACAAACCGAATTTCATCACAATCAGTTTATTAATTTTTTTGCGTAAAGAAATAACAAATATCCAAACTTTCGCATTTATAATATTAGTAAGATTATAATTATAATAGACTAAAAATATTAAATATCTATATAAAAATACGTCAACATAGTAAAAGTCTTACGCGATGAGGTTTTGTTTATTCGCCAGGCTTGGACACCAGTTCGATTAATTAGTTTTTATTTAATTTTATATACCCTTAATGAAGCTTTCATTAAGGGTTTGCAAAATTAACATTATTAATTTAATATTAAGTTTAATTAGTTCTAAAACAGTATCAAGCTGAGTCTAACCGCTGATTTTTAAGTATATTTCAAACCAAACTCTTCAAATTTTAATTTATTTATTCATTCTAGGCAATAAGAACACCCGTGAACGTGGAAAATGTGACATAGCAAATCTACGGCATAAGAACATGTATAGAGAAGAACGACAAGAAAATTTGAATAAATCTATATAAATAAAAGGCAAACCTGATTGACTTATATTTGTATCAATGCACAGCCGAAACTACTGTACCTAGAAACTTGGAATTTGGTATAGTTGTTGCTTTTCATGACGAAGATTTTAGAAATTCAACCCATTACAGAGAAAATTGGTGAAGTTAAATATGTTCAATATCTTTATGTTGTTCAATTTTAACGTGTAAAATCAACACACTCGACATGACTTTGGACCATATAGGAAAAATGTTTTAAAATGACAATGAGCCGGCATAATATGATCCGATGATTCCGGCCTCGACAGACATGCGTCCACTGATGTTAGCTGTTTGAGGGTGTGTATACAATAGAGTTGAGAAAAGCATTATCATCATTGTAACTATGTAACAACATATTCTATATTATGTATGTATCAAAGTTATCACCCATTAATGTTAAACAATTTTGAACTATCATGGGTAACACGAATCTATACTAATATTATAAAGAGGAAAGAAGACGGTTAATGTCTGTTTGTTTGCATTGTATAGGTTTCAAGACTACCGGGCTAATTTTAAATATTCACGAGATGACCGTGTTAGTTATATGTATATTTTTATGGTTTTAAAGATGATTATAAGAAGACCAATAGAATAATAGGGTGGTAACTGTTTATAATTCAAGTGCATTGTATTCATAGATGTGGAATTTTAGTAAAATAATAATGGTATTTTGTATA